GTGTTGTGGTTTGGGAGAGGGGGACGGCGGCCGCCGCCGCAGAGAATCCTGGGGTTTTTGAGCGAGTCGTAGGTGCCTGCAGCAGAGCTTGGGCCGCGGTGGGGGGCGCGCTCCCCTCTCTTTCCTGCCTCGGAGGTTGATTTAATTCGGGCAAGTTTTGCAGGCGCGCACAGCACCGGCGGGGGCCGGAACGCGCGCACTCCAGCTGCCTGCAGACCTACACACTCATGAAAAACAGATCGTGTAACCACCCTGGCACCAACCAGTCGGTTTCAAGTTTCCGCGTGTAATTTTTATTTTTTTTACTTTTAAACAACTACTGCACTATCCAAATATTGGCTAGTCCTGGGGACGCGGGCGGGCAAATCATCGCCCCAGGCTTAGTGTAATTATCTCAGGCATATTTGGTTTATCCCTTAGGCAATTGTTGGCGACACTCTGCTAGGGAGAGGGATTCTGTGCAAGGTTTTATTGCGTTTAATTGGTTCTATGGAGGGGAGTAAAATTTTGTCAGACAAATAATTTTAGGAGAGGTTATTTATTCATTCTGTCTCCTCTCTGCCCCAGCTCCCAGAGGGTCCCATGCACTGCTCAGCTTGGATCTAGGCCAGGTCTTTCCAAGACGTCTGCAGACAGCTGTGGCCAGCGTGAGGAGGAGCGCCGTTACCGACAGGGTTAGGATGTGCACGCCTGGGAAGCAGGCGAAGGTTCTCGCGCACGTCTGGATTTCCGTGGATTCTCCCCTTTATCAACTGACCTCTACGTGCAGAAGGTTGCCCGGGTTAATTATGTTTGTGGTCCTTTGAGGAGTCTTTCCTGTTACCCCACTCTGCCTCTCTTGACCCTTTACTGACATTTATTTATTTACTTACTTATTTCAAGAGAGATTTTTGCTATAGGGCGCATGTGCTGACCACAGAGACAGAGAGACAGAAAGTGATAACTCCCCCCCCAACCCCCACACACGCTGATTGCGGGGGGGGGGGGGGCCACGCCGCAACCCCTTCTCTCGGAAA